GCCGCTGACAATTGAACGATAAATGATAAACGTACCAGTCTAGTGAAAGTAAGTATAATTCGAGACTCTGTCCCTCAGCTATTCCATTTGCCAGTACGACAGTTCCGTTGGCCACGTGTGCTGGTGCCCAGTAATAACAAAACTGCGTAATAGAATATAACAAAAGAATAAACACACCCAATGTGGGAGCAAAGTTGCGTTCTTGAGAGATAATTAACGCTGATTGATTTTATAACTTGCAGTTGATTTGCAGTTGACCAACTCAGCGTGGAACCGGGAATCGTGAAGCTCTCTGTGTTATTAAGAGTTGACATAATGTAACAATGCAACACGCTATAATGGAGAGTGAAGATCGCATTTATAGTGAAAGCAGATTAAAATAAAGGATACCTAAGAGAGTTTTGGTAGCAAACTTTAGCTAAGGAGTTTGCTAATTTTTATCTAATTTTTTTTTACCTTTGTTCGATTTTCTTTAATATTAAACAGTATAAGAACTAACACTTTTTATCTTACTATCAAGTATTATATATTATGACACCTGTTGAATGTAGTATATCATACTCCATTTATACGATGACCGTAGTAATAAATATTCCTAATTCAATATGATGCTTGTAATAACTATATTTTGTCTTATGTATATATATATATATATATATATAAATATACATATTTTTTGTGTACTACGAACAATCTACTTAACGGGGGGAATGAAGAACTATATAATAATATATTTTGTTTATCATTAAATATGCATACATGGTTAATACATTTATTTTGAGACGTTTTTTTCTTAATTTTTATGTCTTGTACCAAGACATACACACACGCCTACGCAGTCAGATTGAATAAGGTACCTTCTAGCATGAGGAACGCGCTCACGTGACTCGGTGTTACGGCAAAATTGTTTTTTCGAGCTCTACACGTTGTTGAAACAAGCGGAACGGTACCACACTCGCCGTTCGCGTGTAACGGGCCCTGCTTATGAGCAGACCAAATTACGTGTTATTACCTTCGTTACAAAACACTGCATAGCTATTGAACGTGAAAGATTCCCTATTAACTAATTGAACGATATTATATTCCTGGTATAATCTATCGGAATATCTCATATATTTTTCTACACAATTTACATGGTAAGTGCAACTTCTGGAAAGTGTGAGATCTAATACACACTGTCTCCAAAGTGAGACACCTACTTCTTTGCTATCGATTTTGTTATGTGTGCCCGCTCTTTATCTTAAGTTTATAGTGTTCTGAACCTTCTCCATAGGACGGTTCGACCGGTTAGATCGTACGAGAACCGTTTATGCAAATCGTTCAGAATAGATGCTAGACATCTATGCCGTGGGAATGGACCGATAATGGCGGAGTCCACAGCAAGCCAGCAGGAGATGCATTGAGATAGATGTTTTTGAGATCTTTACCCTTTACCGCAGAGTACAAACTTGGACGACAGATCTTTCAAAACCCTTCGCCCTTAAGCAGCTAGCGGTACCTTGTCGATCAAGAAAGTCTGTTTGGCGTTAGCCTATGAACCAATATTAATCAACCCAGTGAATCACTTTCCCTGTCGACTTCTATATGAAGTGACTATTCTAAACGGTTAGCCTGCGCCCACCCAGCAGGCCTTCGTCTTGAGCTTGAGCAAATGCATGGCAAGACGTCTATGGGGCTAGCAGAACGATGGCTAGAAGAAGCAGCTGCAAAAAGATGGTGGTGACGACGACGACAAAGAAAAAGCCAGAACCTGACCCTGTCTGACTAACTGGCTGCTATATCATTTAGCTAAAGGCGGTTGCTGCTATTGCGTTTAAGCCTCAATGGCGGTCAAAGTATTTGTGCAGCACTGCACCCTCGGTATCTGGTGGTTTCAACGATTACCGCTTTCTCTTGACTCTACCGCCGGCAAAACTCGCTGTTCTCGACAGTTTGACTCGTACGTGTTCCCTAACTGATAAGTCAGTAGAACCACTTTGAGTGTGATATAGCGGAAGTAGTGACCATCGTAGATGTCACCGTCATCATAGCGATCGTGGCGTGCTGACTTTACCGTTTCGTGTCTACGGCTTCTAGTCATCGCGCCAATTCTGGTGCGGCCGCAGCCATGCTACTGGTGCCGCGTCTATTTCAAGCGTCTGTAGCCCAGCAATAGAAACGGACGTAGAGTGGCACAGACCGCTCAGCTTTCGGTTTCTTTGTTTTATGCGGACACAACCCTTATTGCACACCTAATGCAGATAGGCGAATTGCAAGGCCAAAAAGTCCGACAGGCCCGCCGTTCGCTCTTGTCAGCTTGTGACTCTAACCAGCCGAGACAAGCAGCAGCGCAGATCAGAGGAGTCCAACAAAACAAACTAGGGGTAGTAAACGTAGTGGCAAGAGAAGTGAAAGCAGTGCTTGCTGTATATAGGGATCGCGTCAAGCTAAACGACTAGAAGGGATACTGCCCGCAGGAAACAAAGGGCCTATGCCATTGTCAATGTCATAGGCATGCATGCATCGGTAGCTTCGTGGCGAAGCGCGAAGAAATCTGCAGACGCTAGTTTTGCAATAGGGGAGAGCAGCATCAAGCCACGTGTATGACTGATCTAATTGAATGACTCGTGGACGTTCGAGGTTAATGTTGCAATATCTTGGGTTCGTGGCTGACGGCTCTCGTAAAAACAGATACATACACCATAGACACCAAATGTGTCAACGACATTCCCAGAAATATATGACAGTAAAGGTCGAAAAACGTCTACAATTTTGTGCAGTGTTTAAGATTTCTCTAGATCATTTGAAAATGTCCAGTCTCTCATGTATTATATAATCAGGATACGGAAAACGCTCTGCGACACTGGGTGACTTTGTTGCAGGATCCATTACTTGAAGGACGTAATGAAAAAAATAGTACTTAGTGTGCTTTGGTTCATCTTAGCACGAGCTGTTTCCAGCAACGAACACGCCCGACCGAAATCGATCCCTTAAAGCTTACCTAGTGAAGCAAATACTTTCATTTCTTTCTTGAGCAGCTTATCAATGCACAACATCTCTGATAGCTTTTCGCTCGATGGTGAAGCCCATTGGTTGTAGTGGCCACTGAGCCAAATGCGGAATTTACATTAGCCCCATTACAGACCCAAGCGGGACTTTCTGTCCGCCTTATTTGCCCTCACCAAGCAGACGACGCCCAGATTATTACACCCAGCATTGACTAGGCTTTGCATTGGAGTGCGTCTGTATGTCGCTCGCTAAATCTCATCGGCTAACGTGTAGAAACAGACGGAACTGAGGAGGCTACGAGGAGCTACGACCTTGGCTGAAACATCAATGAGATCATCCTGAATCATACTGAGACACTCGCGTCACTTGAAGATCGGAATGGTATTGAGAAAATGAATGGAATAGACAACACTAGTCAACGGAGCAGTTCGCACAATCAGTTCCCGGCCTATTAAATTTAAGGACACAGAATGATTTTGGTCTAGGTTCAAAACTGGGTGTAAATGATTAAAAACTAATCATTGACTTAGTACTTACTGATTTCTTATACTTTCGTCCCATGTTAAGATAGGTCAGTCGTGTAAAGCATTGATTAACGGCGTAGGTATGAGGTGTAAAATATGCTTACAGAATAAAAATAGTAAGAACGAAAGTATAGGAAGGAAATTAGTGAGTACTAAATGGATGATTAGTCTCTGGCTACTACGTTAAATTGCAGTGTATATGGTTTCCATGCTGTTTAAGTATTTTTCAGGGTAAGAAAACTGCCAAGCAAAGTCCACCGCTACTTTTGATGCTTTAGACGAATTATAGGAGACGCATATGGGGGACATGCATAGGACTGAAGAATCACTGGCCTGGGTGGCATCTAACATGACACTTGAGTTTACACATGGAGATAAAAACGAATATGCGTGTGGGTTGAAGTAACGCTTGGAGCTTGGTTGGCGGGAACTTGAAGAAGAACTCGAGCTGAGTACGGACGGAGTATGATAAGAAGATATTGATGTATGACGTACACGCAAAAACTTCAAATATCTCTCCAGCTGAGCCCCTGGAGACCCCAGAACAGTTAATATCGGACTGGAGGCATTCCGCAAGGCCTTCAAAAGCCTCTGGCTCAAAAAACCAGAGGTCATTGTTTCGGGTCCCGCCGGTAACATAAACAACTACGAAAGCTGTAGGAATAACGTAGGCTTTCAAACTTTTCGCAAAGGCGAACAGGGAAGGAACCGAAGAAAATAAGTAGAAGTATCGTCTACGGGGCAGGACCAACCATAACGATCTTTCTTACGAAGTCTCGCTGCTGAGCGTAATGAGACTGGTAGGGACTGTGTAGCGATATGTGCCCGCGTTTCGTCTGTGCTATCTTTCACCCAGTAACCCATAAGCGTCTATCGATTAGGCTCTTTACCATTGCAGTAACGAGTCAAGAAGTATACGCTATTGCCAATGTTGGCACGTGCAATATTTTCAGGAGAGCCTTACGTTATTAAGGGTAAAAGAGGCAGTGAGGAATACGGAACGGCTTCTGTGTGTGATCACTCTTCCATACTGCTATAATTAGCATATTTATATTGGGCTGTATGGTTGGATACCGCGTCTGAAAACTAGGTAAGGCCACAACCTGCTTCTTCTGGTATCGCCGTTGTGGCAAATCGTATTATACGATTTTTGCCTATGCAGCAACCCTGAAATCTATTTTTCAAGAACGCTTTTATTAAATCCAATCCTGATTCGCTCTGCCTAGACTATCGCAGCATATTGGAACAGCCAATCTACAGATGGATGCTTTGTAAAGTATATAAGGATGTTCCTGCTCACTTAATTCGATTTAAGACTTCATTCAACATCGGACGATCTAGTTCCTATCCATTATATATATTTAATCATCTGTGGAGAAAGGACGTAATCTGGACATCACAAGAAGCACAAAGATACTTCCAGTTCAAGAGAGTCTGCAATGTTAGCTCTTTATTTTGTGTCTAACTAAACAGGAATGATGATAACGTTCAACTTTCTGCGGATTCAGTTGGTCGTTCAGGCCATGATGCGTCCGCTGCAAATGCCGTTGCTGAGATCACCCGCCGTTAGGCCTCTATCGATTTGGAGAACCAGATGTATGCGCCTCGAAGGCTTCGTTCGCTAAATATTTACGCCATCAGATGGGTTGTCTCAAGATGAAAAATCTAACTGCCCATCGAACCGTAGGCCACGGTTGTCATCATACTAATTGTCGTTCTTACAATCAGTAGATGTTTAAAACGAGTCGTCACTTTAAGAGTCAATTCGTACCCACTGAAATATATCGTACGTCTCCGGCAGACAGGTTTTTACTTTTAGACCAGTTAATCTGGTTTACCTTGCTTCAGGCTTAGCAGTATTCATATTTTCATGACAAAAATTAGGCAATTTTTAAACATTAATATTAGAAACGAAGTTGTCATGGCCACTTTGCTTCACGCCGCGGTTTCCCCAGCACAATTAACAAAATGGTAATAAAGACATTTAATTGACTGATAGCAATTTTTTTGAAGTCCATTGAGCTTTATAAGTACCATCGTAAATTTGAGTTATTAACAGATTTTTAATTTCTTCTAGTTAGATTTCAATAACTTTGTAGGAACTGATAGGCCATATCCCATAGTTTGAATTACCTGAAAATGATATTAGTTTTAGAGTTACTATGTGTTAGGCTAGTTTGTCGAGGCTTTATTATATCCGCTTTACTCTATGATATGGCATTACTATTATTATGACGTCAGACTATATCTATGGCTACCTGAAATGTTAAGGCCCCTCTTCGTTCCTCATTCTTATTATATGTATGGGTATTTGCTCATGATAGCAAAGTACCTAGTATAATTCTATATGCATGGACCATTTGTTGGTAACGTAAATGGAGCGCAATCGCAAGTCCTCAGACATCAGCTAATATTTGCAATCGTGTCACAGAATACTAATATTCAACGGTGTGTATGGAGCTGACAGAAGACGGAACTTTGGGTCATTATCTAGGGCATAATAGGTATTCGAATACGTTATAAAGCACAATTTTTTTCGACACGGTAACAAAAGTATGCCAAATTACTTAGAAAGGGACTACTTCTATACTCAGTCATAATAACTATCGTTTGCTCCTGTAGAATAGATCGGATAAAATCGATGCTACTTTCGATAAGCGGTTCGGTACCAACGAGAAACCCTTTGCCAGGCACCAGTAAACACTGAAGAAAACTAGCATGTTATAAGTACAGACCAATAGCGCCCCTTATTGACTGGCTTGCCCTGCCTCGGTGGTCGAAGCGGCGTAGTTCCTATTTAGTTGAAATGGTTCACGGAAAAGTACATCATTATCTCGACAATATAACTGCTGTGAACCTAAATGATACTGCCTTAAAACATCCTATTCTTATATACGTGGTTTTGGTCTGCAAACTGTTCTGGCAGAGGATCGTAAAGAGCAAACTCACATCTCAGCTACTTCGAAGAAAACGTTAAAACTCCGTAAGTAGCTCAAATATTTCAACGTCAATGGTCATTAACGACTTCCTTTTAATTTTTTTTTTCTACTTCGATTGTTGTACCTCGTATAGACTGTTGAAACGATATTTCAAATCGAAGGTTTCCATACAGGTGGTCCTCCTCCGTTGTTATAATTTATTAGAGCATTTCAATCCAGGAGACATTCATGGTTGATGTTATACGGAACCCATATAGTCTTCATTACTTTTCCACGGCGAATGAAACGGTATCTAGATTTTAATCTCCCTGTAACTGACATTACGGTTAGAGATAATAGGAATATCAAAATGTGGACTAATAGGATACATCGATGTCTCATGTACTAAATTTCTATCAGTATTTCCTAAGTTGCTCAAACATAGTAAAATAAGCACTGATTCCTAACGCACTTCAAGTGTAAACCTCTCGAGTCTCCTAGAAGAATGCATCCTATATCAGCTTCTGATCGATTCAGAAACACATATACAAATATAACTTCTATTAACCTAGGGGTTGAATATTCAGCGAAGGACATGAAGCTTTCAGCAGCACGCTATCGTCTAGGACTCTTTCAGGTAAATACTTCTATCGGGTATCTAGAAAATCGCAATCATCTAACGTGAAATTATGCCTGACAGCATCTGCAAAAGCCGCTCCCAGTTTTATCTTTAGAAAACGCTGTCAGACTTAAATCCAATGACACTCTAGTTGTTTTTGACTTCAGGCTTAATTTATTGACAAGGACCTGATAACAGATTGTTTGCCTTGTGGGACTTTTTATCCAGCATCTTAAGGAAAATCATCCTCAGAGGAGGTTTGAACTAGAAGCCACTGACTACCCCTTACGACTAATCAACTTTTGCATGCACTTTTCGGTATTGCTTTCATTCTGAACATCCAAACCTTCGATTCTGTCATCGTGACGTTGAAAAGGTAGCCTGTTTACTTAAAAAATAGGTCAAGTGTTTTAGGTTCGAAACGGGGCATAGCACAACTCGTTTTATGCTGGGACTAAAGTTTAGCGGAAATGAACTCCAAACCTGATCCCGTGAGTATGACCAGCCATGTAACTACGTCGACATTGACGCAGTAATGGTAACTGTACCGGGGGGTATAAAATAGTCCAGTAAAGACGACGGTTTTTAATTGATTGACCGAAATGCCATCATATATACATATAATACGCTTAGACCGCGTCGTTGCCTTATCCAGTTCAGATGTCTGCTTTTTTTTGTAAACAAAAGCCATAACCTGCATGACAAGGTATTGCGTTAATTGCAGATATATATTTTAGGGCTAATTAGAGGTCACTAAACGATACCAGTCGTGTCTGTAATTTCTGAAACAACTGAAAGTGAAGGAAAGCGATATACCAAGTGTTCTATTAACGTAAGATGTTCTTGGGTAGCATGTACTCAATGGGCGATTGGATAATAGTTTTCTCACTTCTATTCAACTTCTATTGCCTCTATTACTTTTTCTATGGTTCATCATTCATAGTTCCGTTCTTCTAGGACCTAAGTGCATGTACATCTTTGTGATGTGTACCATTTCTATGTTTACATATATGATATCCCCGGAGGTTTGAAATCGCCATCTTCCCCTCTGCTACCCTCGTTGACTATCAATAAATAAACTTCTCTACGAAATTCTCTCTCAGTCTAATAGAAAAATATTTGCAACTATGCCTTCTTCTGTGTTTTTTTTTTTTTTTTCTTAAATGCTGCTAGACTTATTCCATGCACAAAGAGTCTAGACAGGTTGTTTTCGTACGCAATCACGGTACATTTGATTGGTAATGTAACAAAAGAAGAAAAAAAAGGCAAGCTTGTACTTGAAAGTTCAGCTCCTTTGTTCAGTGTCAGTAGAGAATTGTCTTCTCAAATATACTTTTTCACAGGTAGGCAAAAACCTTGGATGTATGAGGAAAATTAAGGAGTTTGAGTTATCGGAGTACTCAAAGGCAGGAGCTGTTCTAATATTTTAATGCTTAACTCAAGTCTTTTGTATTGAACTTTGACTTGTAACATTTCCAGTCCCTTAGACCTGAACTTTGGAGCTACCGAGCAATCTTTGTTGTGCTGGAAATGTAAATTATCCTGTAGGTCACTGAATACACCATAAGAGCATGAGCGGACGGTTGGCTATTGAATGCTTATAGAAAGAATACAAAATGTCTCCGTTTACTTTTACGAACGTTTCATTTGATGACCGAACAACCGCGATAGAACTCGATGACTGAATGCAGCGTAAGGGCTATTCTCTATATTATTCGTGGAACCCCCACAAACGATACTCAGACGTGGGAATCTTCTAATCAGTCTGTAGCCAGGAGAGGTTCCGTTAACGAAGAACAAAATGGATAAATATTCAGAAATCAGGTAATAATACTAACGAACTGTGTTAGTCGAAACGATAACAGATTCCAATTCGATATATGTAGTAACATAAACGGAAGTCCAATGGATCAGTAAAGGGATATTTTTACCCCAAGGTTCGTTTACCCCCAAGGTTTGTCTACTGGATTGATAGCACCCCACCATACGAATACATTAACAACATAAACAGAATTTATAACTACAGTAGCCAAACCTGTATTCAGTTATGTTTCTAACTTTCCACTTATTCTTTGCAACCGTATATAATACCTATTGAACTAAAATCTGGCAGTGTACTTGCAACAAGTTAATAAATAGAAGCTTAAATAATAATTCGTTTATTCGACATAAACCAAGTAGACTTATTACCTTGTACTGTCGCAGGTGGCGCAATGTTCACGTTTTTTGTATTATTGTATATCACCCCCTCCCCCCCACTAAACAAATGGTATGAGTAATTTGTAGTAATTAATAACATTTTTTACCCTCCATATAACAAAACGCCTATACATCGAAATAAATGTTTCAGTTTAGCAATTAACTATAGCTACTTACATTAAATCATCTGAGCTAGATATCTATACTCACTTGCCTTCGCACGAGCTCCTCAAGTGCATCTGTACAGCTCCGTGTACTGCTCGCCTTAAACTAAACGTGATCTTTTTTTTGAGGATGGAAATTTTGTCTTTTTACGCTTTTCTCCTGCAGCTTCAAACAGTTATAATAACAACAGCAAGAACGCTGATTACGTTCAGCAGCTCTGTATGGAGTATAACCACCTGTTAAGATCCATTTTCCATGCGTCTTGAGGTACCGGGCTCGTGCTGTTCCATCCGTCGCTCGCCGCAATTGCTGTTACGGCAGTCATAATCACCATTTCCGTGCTCGCGTTTTTAGGTATTCCTTTTTTTTAATGGAAACTAGAACGCGAACATACGGGCAAGCATGGCCTCCCTGCGGCCGATGGCGGCGCTGCTACTACCGTTAATTAGTGTAATGATGAAGTTTTATTTTTGTTGTCGACGACGACGATGGTGATGATACTTTTGGTGCAATAGAAAAAGTACGCCAGTTTCCAGCTGTGTTTTAGTGTTCCTTTCACGTGTGGAAATATATAGGGTTTTTTTGGTTTGTGACGCGCGTACACACAAAAGACGATGCCGCCCGCTAACGTGGCGCGTATTAACTGGACGGAAGCTGGTCTATCGTTGCAAGTTATTTCGGGGTTCGCTGAATAGCGGTTGGAGCAAGCTAGGTCCAATTCTGTGAATATCGTTGCTGTCTCCTCCGGTCTGATCCTGTTGGCCGAGAATGTGGGCGCAGACTTGGGATTAATAGCTTCTACCAATAGGTGTTGCTCCCCCTGCTTGTTCTGAGGGTTGCTGCATATGGGCGCCTCTTGTGCGTCAGCCGCGCCTACAGCCAACGGACTGCACGACACATACACTGTAATACTTGCTGTAATCTTTGCGCCTTCCTACATGTACCAAGTGAACGTAGATACTGAAGACAGGGTCACAACAACAATAACCGAAAGAAGCGTGTCGCATTTGGGCGCAGCTGCGGACGGACGAGCAGCGCAAAGCATGAAAAAGAAAAGAAATATAAATTAGTAATGTATATTAAGTCATTGTTCGCTTCTTTACTGCATCAATAATGATCTTCTAAGAGGATAACATGTCCCATCAATTATGTACCACAATCTATTCGCAACTATCATACGTACGTTTAGGCGAAGCCGACTACAATGAGGCGGGTTCTTTCTTGGTACGTTAGGTAGCTTTTATACGTCATAGTGTCGGTATGTATGCAATGTGCACGTACAGAAGAAAAGGCTTTCCCACAGAAGCGCGGAAAGACTGCTGACAACAACGGCTAAAAAGCGTCACAGTTGCTGGTCGTGCCAAGCTTGATGCGGCGTTCAGTTATTCACGAATTGCTGACGAGCCCGTCACGCTCACGTGTCTGAGAAGCGTATTCGTGAAGCGTTCTTCACCTATAAACTCTGTCTTCACTGAAAACGATGCGCTCTTCTAAACAATGGACTCATTAGTGGGTCGGCGTCGAAGTTTCTAAATAGAATCAAAGAACCTTAGTATGGAATCGCCGACCCACGAGATTATTCTGCAACTACTGGGACGTTCACCACAGCGCACGCCGAGAACGTTGTCATGCGCTAGTTAATTTCCTGTTCCAGAACTCGTTGCAGTAAAATGGGAGAGACCAATAGGTTCCAGGCGCTCCCTACGAAGCGCACTCACCATGTCAAACAAATGGATATTCTATACAATCGCAGTGAGCGCAGGAAAATTTCATTATAGCTAAATGACTTTGCTCATAGAACCGCGTTTGTTTTGGCCCGGGGCGGCGCAATCATATGACCAGTAATAACGGCCGTACTTTTCATACATTATAAACGTATAGGTAAATAGATGGTAGTCGGTTGCGGTTCACAGCGGCTCTATCAGTACACCGACTTTCCTTTCAGGTTGACTTCTTTACATGATTAATGTACAGGTCAGGTTGAGCCGCCAGCTGTCAGGCTGTGACCTAAAGTGTTACCAAAAAACAGTAACCACCTCAATCGCCCAATGGAAATTGATAGTCGGTAGGTTAACTCAGTCAGCTAATAGCGGTGACCAGTCGAGCCAGATCTCATCACGTTACGCCTCCTTTGATATCCTTTTTCTTGCAAACACTGACCCTGCGACCACCGCGTTGAACTCATTCGCCTAACATTGGCCGAACTCGCCAGCTTCGTATTCTATAAACAACGATACAGAACCGGCCGACGTTTCTTCGTGGTTCCCAAGCGTGTAGTGTTAGGGTGTACGCATTCTCTAAGCGGCGTCTCGACAAAAGCTGTGCCCAGGCCATGTAACTCACGCTAACCTCGTGACCCCCCTGAAGACGGCACGGACGAATACGGCAGACCAAACAGACTAATCTGCCATCATTTCACCCACTTGCTGGCGTCCACGAGGCCGTAGCCCATAGGTCAACTGTGGCGTTAATTGTGGTCAGTGAACCTGCCTTAACTCGAAAGCGATTCTAATGGACATCACTATCAGGCTGGCTGGCTGGCTGGCTGGCTGGCTGGCCGAACCTAGGCGACCGAACACGTCAACCAGCACTGTAATAGACGGTTTTACTGTATAATTTTACTTTCTATATTGTGAATACGATGTTTGTGTCTTTATCGGTGGCGGCTATTATTGCGACTAATTCTAGGCCCCAGTATATACCTTGGGCGGGTCGTGCTGGCGGGACGTATCCGGTTGAAATATTCTTTTCACTTCGTTCCTTTGAAGTAGTTTTGCTTGGGCAGCAGGGTGAAAATTTAGTCGAAGAGACGGCCCAACTAGAATTGGCTCTAGGTGGCATAACGATAAGTGCAACACCCGAAGACAAGACTGTTATGATTAGTACTTCCAGGCACAGCAGTTATCATCACCGTTACACATTTAGCACTCTTTGTTAAGCATCGTGCGTTTGCGCTTCAATACAATGCCGTTACTGCCACGTTTTCGTACGATGCCCTACGGAGATACAACCTCAAATAGAAAGATCCGCACGATATGCGAGCACAGAAACCCTTTTAGATAGACGAAGCCAATATACCCTAGCAACTGGCTAGCTTGGAGAACTCTGCCCGCCTAACCCGATGAATACCTGATCAAAGGGATAGCGGTATGCTAGGTTTTCCCGTAGAACCAGTAGAGGTAGCAGCGAGGCTGAAAAACAGAATTGTCAGAACGCATTGTACGTGCCTTGCATCTCTTGGTTCTCGCTGATAGAAACTGGTTGCAAGACGATGCTCGGAGGCAGATCACTGTAACCGTGCCACAATATATTCAACGATAAGAAAAAGAAAGGCCAGCAAACCTTACTTCATTGGCCATTTAAATGACACTAGGCTTATAGGTGGACTATATTTTTCTATGCGTTCTCTATACATCGTTCCAAGGTAAGACGTTGTTCGTGTCGATAGGTAGCTGTGTATGACATTTTATAATCACTGTTGTATAATTTAATCTGGCCATATAACTTGCAGAACAGCCCACTAGTGGCACACAGACCCACGTATAAAGTTACGCTTTCATTTTAGACGGCATAGGCTTTTCCCTACATAATGTAAATAATCGTCGTTTAGATTAAAGCAACGTTTGCTTTGATAACACCATTTGTAATGGCCGTATGGTATATATGTACCATAGTTACTAAGTTCAAGCTTTTCCTACTTTGTGTAGTGTTTTAAATGGTTATATTAGCAGAAATACCCTTTGTTCGCTTGAACCATCTATCTGGATGAGTACTTTTACCTCAGCCTTTAAGCCTTTCAACGGGTGGTACAGCGTGCCTGATTTCGCAGGAAGCCTTCAAAGACGGATGGGAAATGTGCTAGGGCTACCTGCGTTAATATGCGCCTTCACAATTACTTATTCAGTGCTTAAGAACTATACAAAAGGGTAGAGTTCAAAAGCATTTGCCGTATTAACGTCAATATCTGCACGTGGGATTACAGATGAAATTGTGTGACAAGGAATACAATGCGATAACCTCAGAAAGTAAACAGTAGCTACTTTACAGTTTTACTCCGAAAGGAGCGATTTGTTGCATGACGTAAGCCATGATGAGATTTATAGACAGTGACGTTTACGCAACTCCTCAGCGACGTCACAATTGAAATGCGGATTCTGACGTTGCGATACAGATAGCAACGTAAATTCGAACGCATGCTTCTATTCCGTAGGAAGCCGGACATTGTTCTTACGTTCCCGGGCAAATGATCCTCAATATTGGCCTAGAATATAGGCGAATACAAGAGAAATTAAGGCTTCTTTCGAAGCCTAGGAATGAATTAATTTATCACCTATTTCCTCGCTGAGACCTCGCAAAGAGTTTTGTTCGAAATTTTTAGATCTTGTGTTTTTGGGTTATTTTGGCATAATTATCTCATTGATTTCTTAGTTCAGACATATCTCCTGGATCTACTCACTTTCGTCGCTCCTATTATGAACGCAAAGATAATAGCTATTATCACCGATGGCAATTTTGTGTAAAAATCTGCCACTGAAACTGCGTGTGAGAGGCTATGGGAGGCCGTGCTTCTTTGCCCTCTTCATTCAGTTTATGGGAAGGTTCATGATTTTTGAGTAAACCTGGTAAATTCGTGTTGTTCCCAGGAGGCCTTCCGTGAATGGTTCTCAGTCAGTTATGGGTCAGATGGCCCAACGGAATGGGATGCATTTTCCAGTTCCAAGTTGGGCTCTGCAAATCAGTTTCGAGCGGTCGTCTTAGGCATGAAGTTCTCGTCGTACGTGATGTGAATATCTCGTGCTGCTTGCGTGTTCTCTGCAATGTATTTTTCTTACATGTAAAACCTTCATCTTTGGCATGTGAATCTGACATGTAAGGCCATTTACTGCACAATGAGATTATATCGGATCATTATAAAGGAGAGAAAGTCTTCCCGAATGGTAAACAAATGATGAACGACGTAAAAGATCATAAAAGCCAACGGCTACTAGCCAGTATTATGAGGTTATATATTTGAATCGTTCAAATAACTCGCTGTCGCTGTCAAAGGTACTATGTTGCCCGTGTACGAGTGCTCAATAGCACTCTGTGCTTAAGGAGCCCATTTAAATAACACTGTCTGAGAGCGTTGAGACGAGTACTATACAGAAAGGCCCGAAATTGTTCCTCGTTGTTGTAGAGACATGAATGAAGCAATGTACACGTCATCCTTAGTACTATTATATAATTCGTAATACTGTTAATCTGTAGCACATATTCGCATATTGTTGTATATATATATATAGTTAATTTCTTCTAATAACCGCTTACAGAAAAACGCGTCAATTTTTGCGAATAGAGCGTAAAAATTTTGCAAAAAGAAAAACACTCGGGACTTCGCGACTGACATCACTGTAGGGCTGTGCTACCTCTGGCCGCGGAAACATGTGGTGATAATCGCGTCTTGTTTATTCCGCTGGCGCGACTGATTTCGTATGGCCAGTATATGGCCACACGGCTGAAACAAAGTAAGGACCCACTCTGAAGCCACGTGTAGCTCACGGCAAACTTCGTGCGGTTTGTTTTATCCATTATACTTATTTGTGGGAGCAGTCAGAATGGGGTGATAAAGTAGAATAGTCGCTGATGAAAGCGACTACGGCGGAACCCACTTGCCAAAGCAGGGGCTTGAATTTAAAAAAATCGTTCTGAGCTTTCACAACAGCGGTAAATCACACCGCATAACAGATGTTAACTCCAGTCGGTGCATGCAGTGACAGCAGCAGCAGTGATGACAGTAGCTGCGATCATGGATAACAGCAGAAATTTCAATCGGGGGTAATGTAGCGGCTCAACAACACGACTGGGTCATCCACGATGAACTGACACCTAGGTAGCCAGGCCATCGACAGCCTTAGGACATCGTCAATTAGTCACTGGCTTTGCTAGTCAGAGTAGTCGGAGATCAGACGGGAGTCACGATCGAAACGAGCAACGCTAAAAACATAATGAATCATTTGTGTATAAATTTACGGTGTTACTGAACAGTCGCCTTTTCTGTCGACTCTGCATAACGGCACGCCACGGGAAGCTGTGGCACAGCTTGTTCAATTAGAGCATAGCTTTGTACGGCGAGTTCGACGCGTAGCGTTGGTTCGTGAACGCGACAGGTTACGATGGCGATCTGTGTTGAAAAATGAGGAGCAACGACTGCAGCTGTGATATAACGATGAAGAATAGCACCGCATCCATAATGATGTCGAGCGTTGACAATTGCTGAGAGACAAAGACATCGGCGATGTTAGTTCCTATTCAGCAGGAACGTTTGTGCCCCGCACTGCCGTACGTGTCGCACGTCGGTATACGCTGGAACGGAACCGGGAACGGACTACAAGCATTAAATACCATGTTATTTAGGTGGGAGACAAAAAAACGGATGCTCCATCAAGGATAATGGCGTAATTTAGTTAGAAATAAGAATAACCTACTTCGATCCCATACCGGCTATTAACTCACTGCAACCGATCAATTGCTTCTAGAACGAAGCTGTCATGAAACGACAATGACAATATACAGGTTCACGCAAGCGTCTCTTCAGTTATGTCGCCTCTTTTAGCTGTCGGGCAAAACAGGTTACGGCAACAAACAGTATCTGAACCGGTTTTGCGTCAGTCGAAAGAAGAGGTCGTCACAATCCTTACATTCAGTTCCTCTTCCCTCAGCTTGTTCAGTATTTTTTTCGTCGCTTGTAGTCCAAAGCGGAGTCGCAGTTTCAAACAGGAACACGTGGCGGCGGTTCTGACCTGTATGACCTCGAGCATGGGTCGAATTTCGCTGGCGATTTTTCCCAGCTATTATAGTTGGTCCGCGTTTCTGGTCCCTCGGGCCAAAACGGAGAACCCGGTATACATTTATGGGATTGGCGGTTTCCTCTTCATATGGCTACACACAAATAAACGCTATGTAGCATGTGACTGTATTAACTTTCATTTGCTTTATTGGTGTCGAGTATTCGAGACGGGTATCGACCGATCGCCGTTGTATCAGTCTGGCGAACGGCTCAACTAGCAAGAAGCTTCGTTTTTGTTGACAATTGTACGCACGACAAGATTTCCATCGCTTGATCCGCTGCAGTTGCATTTTTCCCAATCTGACGAAGAGTCTTTCTGATTAGTCTCTGCGTATACAGTTCAGTCACGCGTTCACTTTAAATAATAGTAATGCACCTTTGGAAAGTAATTATAAATTTAGTACATATTATAGGCAGACGCGCGCCGATGTTTGTCTCTATTTTTAAAGTTTCCTGTAAAAGGAACATTTAGCAAAACACTTAACGAAACTGGTCCGATCAGGCTGTTAATAAAACGATCGACTAATAGAGAAGCGTATAAATAACAAAATTATATAGAATAATAAGAAAAACAGTAAAGCCATTTTTTAAAAACAATAAAGCTATTGAAAAAAAAGGAAGATCAAATAGATCCAGGCTGATAAGATGGAAAGAAACTGGGCTTGGTCATGAGGTCTAGTGATGCTTTCTCGACACCAACTTCTGTATTAATCGGTTTTGAAGAAACCCTTAAGAACCTATTTAGACATTAATCAACAAAAGTAAGCTCAGGTTATGTCCGCGTCGATTTGTCCAACAGTGTCTACAATGACTGGAACATATACGTGGTCTATAGTCAAAATAGAAAATTCGAACGCTAAAAATATTCCCGTTTCTAAGTTAGTACATAGTAATAATAGTCTAAGTTAATTACATATTTAGTTTTGTATCTTAACTATCTCAATATTCTTAATGAGCATGAAGAACGTACGTAGTCATCGCTCTCTCGCAGCGAAGTACAATACCGGCAATATGACAAGATACAGACGGTTCGAAATATTTGGATATGTTAAACAAATAGAAAAGAAGTTTTGGAAGTCTGCCATTGACAGCATAAGCTGTCACAATTACGTGCGAAGTATGAAAATCCCAACTGAAATATATACGGAGATGAAAGTTTGCTTCAAACTTTTGCCTCGGTGTAGAAGCCAATGACCAAAACAAACCTGATATAAAGTGGCCACGTTGGGTGATGCTCTACAGAAATGTGTACATAGTTCACTGCAATCAATAACCCGCTGTGACCTTTCACAGCTTTACCTATGTGTGCAATTAAGCGAAAAACATTTCAAATCTATACACAAACAATCTCTAGAACTGGGCGTATATAAGGCAAAAAAAAAAAAGCAATTTCCCCCTATTCAAAACGCTCATATAAATATTGTCCATCAAACGATCCATCGACGAGGCGGTGGGTACGTGCGACTTCGTGGACGCACAGCGTTTTCTTTCCTCAAGAACAGTCGTATCGATTAAACACTTTAGTTCGTGACATTCCCTATGTAACTAATCTGGTATAGGCAAATCGAGCCTCACTTAGATGGGTGTTTTCCATTCTGACTGGGAACGGTCTAGTGCACATCATACTGATCTCAGGAGAAGAGCGCGCAGCAGACTTCGTTCCCTCGTTCAGATAAATTATAGACATTAGTTTAGATCTGTGAAGCTTCGTGCGCAATAATCATCTATCCAAAACATTACTTCAGGTAGAAAATTGTTGGAAAGGAAACAAGTTACGAGCATATGCGAGCAAGTTCGAATGTAGAAAGTCTTAACGCTCCCGTAAATTCTATACAGGCGAGCATTGGCGCGACGTCCAAACTATTGTCTCATCAATAGAGATCTTACCTGTACCTAATCATTTTTCATAAGGAGACTGCTCGTATCAATATTCCAATAAAAGCAATTGTTGCAGGTTGCATCACAGATCATGAAGGCGTATTTTTCGCAGACATATGGTCGTATTCATTCGTAACGTATTTCATTCGTGCGCGACGTAGCGGAGCTCAATCGTACAACATGTGCTAGGGCGTATCCGATATTTTGAGCCTGTAAGTTGCTGGACCAACCTAATGTTCCTCTTTCCATTTCCTACACTGGTAGGTCGTGGAACGGCTAATGCAGCAGCCTTCGAAGTTGCCAGTATAGTCGCCAGCAGCGTCCATTACGAACACAGTGAGATATGGCAACGGAGACATGTTACCGTAAAACATCATAGCACCTGCTGGCATTTCCGAGGCCGGTGCCACTTGATAGGCCGCCTGGTTTCAGTTTTGCGTTTTGCCGATACTGTACAAATGATTAGCTGCCGGTGAGCGAGCGCATGGTGAAAATTTTGACACACAGATGAGCGGCCTTTCCGCGGTTGCTACTATGATTGCTAGAAGTGTCTTCAATTTTTTTTCTAGGACCATGAGGACTAGTATACCTTTATGATGAATAAAAAAAAATCCATCCGTCTCACTATCATTCATTCTCTGGCTGTTCAATCTGATTCATTGTGTCCGGCTACCGTCGTGTGATTCTCTAGCATCTCGAACAATCACCGTAAATACAACTGGGGATAAAATTTAGCCGATTTAGCCTTTTTTCATCGAAGTTTTATATGACTATACCGGGTTAAACTACTTGTCGGTTTCGTACCCATCGTTCTAGGCGGGACTTCCACGGTCTTTTCTCTGACGTAAAATAATGACGACAATTATGTTTTTTTCTAGTAGGATAGATATTCATGTTACAAAACATCTGATGCTTGTCAAGGCGTGTCTGCCTCAAGGCCTTATCGCAGAAGTTTAATTAACCTGGGTTTAAAGAAGATTATCATGTGAGAATCTGTCGCATCGCCAATAACATGGATGTAGTTGGTATTATTTCACGCTGTGTCTCGTGTGCACATTTTTTGAGGCCTTAACATTAAGATAATTCTTAGAAAAAAAAACGTAGACTGAACTATCTAGCTTTTTGAGGTTAAAGAACTTTAATTTTATCGCTAGATATTCCGTCTGACACCTAACAACCCAATAGCTGTCCGTGAGAAAAATATTAAGCTAGTAGTAAACACTCGAACGTTAAATTGGGTCGTCATCGGTAAATGCCGGTCGTGATCGGTAAATCTGAATACTGCCTATAAGTCTTCAGTAATTTTTATATATGGTGATAATTGTGATCAGGAATTGTTAGCTCCGTTGTCATACAGCAAAGCCCGGTCTTGAATTTTAAAAAGATCTTCTCATCTAAAACCAATATATAATTTTATGGAAAAACGAGTTCTCTATGTGTAGTTACAGAAATCAACAAACAGCCGTAATTGCTGAAGAAAAAAAAACAATATTGACAACGGTTTAGGGCTTGCAATGTATACAATGATCGCTGTTAACTTTGAGTGCATCATTGGCTTTTTCCTAAACATACTTTATGGAATAATAACAATCAGTCGGAATAATACATATTTATACCTTATCTATTATTTCAGCTGTAAAACCGTTTTCTGGATTTAGATATTTGCTTAAATATCTTATATATATATATATATATAAATAAAAACACTTTACAATCATCTTATGAACGTGGTCACCCCGTAGAATCGTTAATGCTGAACAACACAGAAGGCTTCAGGAAGCCCTAAAAAACTAGTCATTTGTTCGGTAACGATTTCTATAAACATTGGGCCGATAATTCACACAGGATTTCTGACCACCTATATTTAGAACTTGTTATTATATAAACGGTCTCCAACAATGTTTAATAAAGGAAGCGACTGCGGTACGGCTAATTTTGTTAAAACCACTAATTACATTTAGTTAAATAGGTAAATGTGTATTTTTTTTTTTCATTTTGTTACGTTATTGTCTCGAAAGCTAAGGATGCTGTTGTATTGGAGTCAGGCAAATGTAGCCCAAGGCCGGATTCATTCCCTTGTAACATTAGTAAATGGCTTTTCTCAATTGCTTCAAGTTCTTTAGACGCTATTTAGTTCGTGTATAGAGCCACTACTTTGTATCCGTTGATCAGAGGATTATCTTCAAACAAGATCTGAGAAAATACCGACTTTTTCACTAAACCATCATAATTAAGGTGGATATTTTCTAGAGACCATCTGCAAAGAGCTGTTGAAATCTATATAGGTGATAGATAGTTGAGAAAATCTGAGGACAACTGCTTTCGGTCACATTGCATTTTATCAGTAATAAAGTTCACAGTTCTCGTGCGGTAGCTTGGAAAACTAAAGTTCTAGTTGAGTTATTAAGGACGCGCCAGTGATGTACATTACATAACTGATGAACGTGACATATATGTCTAAATAATATATTTTCGATTTAGGCCAAAACATAATTCTACCGCTATAAGCTGGCGTCCTAATTGGTCAATGGATTAGTAAAATTTAGCTCATTAAAAAACGAGGCTACTTAGGCTACACTCGTTCGTCATTATATATCAGGCCATCCATCGTGCCGTAATCTAGACTGCAAACTGGACGAAACTGCTCCCGTCACATCATGCCATTCATTCTTGGCTGTCAGTCAAACATTTCACGATACACGCACCTCTCAGACACTAACGCTTCGGATAATATTTGAACTTACTTAAGATAATATTGACACGGATTTAAGTAGAACGGCAGGTAAAAATTTAGTCGCTGACTGAAGTTCCAAAACAATAAAGGGGCAAACACCTATGAGATACAAAAAAAAAACGTGAAACCACAGCTTCAGCCAGTTCTTGGGTTGCGTGTCGTCTCTATTCGTTCAAGGGTCCACATACAATCAATGCGCACTAATTGCTCGCTCTTCGTATAGGATCTTGTTCCCAGTTTTCGTCAGCTGACGAGTACGTGCACCTGGGTAGTCGAATAAGCAAACGTACGACATTACACACACAAAGTGCGCTGTTCCTTTAATTCTTCATGTATAGAGACGGACAGCGTGCAGGCCAATACATGATCTAAACGTACGTTTCAACGTGTGAAGCACGGCCAACAACGGGGACACAGATTCTGGTGGTATGGTAATAACAAATGTAACGTAAGCATTAGCTTTCCAATCGTTCAGTAGAAGGCCAACGAAGGCTTTGCTAGTAGATCATGTCGTTCAATACTGATGCCAAATTGCACGTGGACTTGCCGCTGTGCGCAAGCAGCTAACGTTCGGGGGTGTTGCGTAGCGTTCGCTAGCGGTATGTTGGCAGGCGATAA